GCACTACCAAACACCCTTCTATTATCATTGTAAATCACTTTTATATAAAAAAAATTAGGGATGCTGGTCCCCGAACCCCGCCCTACTATTTAGTGTGAGTTTGCTCCCAGTTATATTTCTTCTGGATCCATCACAGCATATTTTACACCTTTTTTTGGAAATTTATTGATATAATTTGTGTAAAAATATACAAATATGGGTAAAGGAGACCATAAAAAGTAATTTTACTTGAGATAAGGTGGGAACTCCTCAAAGCAGACCCTACTGCCATGTCTTCTGGCACACCGCATGTATCATTTTTGTTTTGTAACATTTGTGTGATCATATTTGGGTAGGAGGAAGTAATAAATACTCCACCGCAATCATTTTTCTTTTATCTTAGCTAGGTGTATACATCGAGATGCACATTACATTACAAGACCATATGTGTTATGATAAGAGTGATTGAAATATGTGTGTTTTGGTAGATTGAATGGAAGTGTAGTATGAATATATTTTAAATTTTGATTGATTGAAATATTTTTTAAAAATGGAGAGAGTAAACACGGAGTGATGGCCATCACTTGAAATGGGGTGGCGCCCCTCCACCGTACCTGCGCAATGGAAGAGGGGGGGGAGGGTGATCAAGCCCCTCCTCACGCGGTTCACGCCCCTAAGTCCATAACACATAGCCTGAGTAGTAGGGCTTGACATGAGGCGTGCCCCCTTTGTCACGCTAGCCTCACCATGTCGCCATTGATGTGATGGCGTGTGGCTCCTTGTTAGGTGATGACCACCCCCACCCCTTTTCTTTTTTCTTTTTTTGACCAATCAAAACAATTCACATTTTCATCACATCACTTTTTAGTCGCGCTTCTTTTTCAAGTCCCATAATATAACACATATTTTTTGTACTTCTCTAGAGACCAACCCTTGTCGGATAATTTCTTCATCATTGAAGGTGTGACTACTCAACAAAAATGTTCTTTGTTAAAATAATTCATGTGATTCCTTAGTGAGCGAGAGCTTCTGATTTGTAAAACGATCACAATATTTCGCTGGTAGACATTGAATAGTGTACGTCCACCAACTAGAGAGTAAAAGTGTGAAATAACAAAATTGGACCCAATTCACAACCCTAAAAGTCAACTCAAGAGGTTTAGAAACCCAATCTATTAAATATGGCATAATATTGGCATGTTTAGCCGAAGTGGGATGAGACAACTCAATACGCCCCCCTCACACGAGGGCCGAGGCGCAGATTACTGCAAGCGCGATCCTAGCATTAATAGTCTGAGCTCTAATAATATGTGAAATAATAGACTTAGGCATAATTTAACTCAAAAAGTTAACTCAAGAGGTTGAGGAACCAAAACTACTAGATATCATAATATTGGCATGTTTAGCCGATGGGTGGAATGAGACAACTCAACAAGAAACATGTTTGAGATCTCAAGAATTGAAAACCTGATCTAATACCATGATAAAATAATAATGGAGAAAATATTTCGGCATATTAAATTGTTCTTGTAATTGGCTAGGGCCTAGGATGAGGTAAATGAAACTAAAGCTATAATGTGGTTAATAGAAACTATTGTAAAATAAATTGATTGCCTTATTCATTATGACACAAGGGTACATTTTCTCCGTGTCGTGTTAGGTTCCTGATTTCTCGGGAACGATCATGCTATATCCAGTGGCGGACCTACAATGGTCCAAGTGGCGTCAAGTGCACCCACTAATTTTTACAGTACCCGCTGCACATTCATGGACTCCTATTTTACACTTTTACAGCTCTTAATATAATTACTCCCTCAGCTCCGTCCCAAAATATTTGTTACACTTGCTTTTTCAACAGTCGCGGAAACTTTTATTTATTTCTACGTTTTCATTGGTTATCTAATAAAATAAAATATTGTTGACACCTATTATTCCGAAGAACTTTCCATGTAGTTTTTTTATATGTAAATTTTATTTTTTTATTTCTATACCAATATGTAAATAAAATGAATTGAAAAAACTTAATATTTTACCCCAGGAATACAAGTGTGGCAAATCTTTAGGAACAGTAGGAGTATAAAGTATATTAGGGTGTTCACACTATTAGCTACATATACTACGGAGTATTATAGAGTATCTACTTTTTTTGCTGAAGGTGCTATCTTAGTTTTCAACAAAGTAGCTTTTGTTTATTTAGGTGTTTAATATTCTCGTTACTTCTTGTTTTGTAGAATTTTTGACTTAATTTTTAATTTCTATACCAATCTTCAAAAAAATGAATTTTAAAAAAATTGAAATTTTGTTTCATTTTACATAAAATGTAAAATATTTTGGAACGGAAAAAATAGATATATATTATGTGTCCAACATATAAAAAATGAACCCACTCTCACAGAACTCTAGGTCCGCCACTTGCTCTATCATAACATGATCATTCTTTATCGTAAGTGTCAAGAGTACGTCAAATCTCGATTTATTCCATTTAGGACTCACCTCTCAACAACCTGAACGCACTACACTGCTCGAACAAATTAACTATTAATTTTCAAAACGTTAAAATTAAAACCGAATAAGAATAAGTAATAAGTAAAAAAAGATAAATTTAGAAAAACATAACTTAAGTATCACATCTTGCAATGGAGGGGACGGTTGGCATGCAGGTACAATGTCATGTTGGGGGGATTCAGGTGATGGGTGGTGAGGTGTACGTCTCGGTTACCGGCCGCTTCTTGTTACAATAAAGAAAAATCTCAATCACATGCGATATGCCTCATCGATCACATGGTGCAAGTAATTTAATTTGTTCACCTCCCCACTACCTAACCACCTCTTTCTTAATTCACATGAAGCCTGCATGGTTTCTAAAAGGCATACACACACACACACACCCACCCATCCTAGAGTAGTTCATATTTGTGGGGCGTAAGGATTATAGAAAGAACACGAAAAACATAGGATCCATACATTTTTTGGAATAACGTAATTAACGTAAAGATTGAATCCAATCGATTACTTACTTCAACTCAAAAGCTTATATACTAATTATTATTCAACAAGGTCATTTTGAATCTAAGTGATTGATCACTTGCAAATGAACTCCCCCGCCCCAAGAAATGAAAGGATCGAAAGTATCAACACCTAAAAGACCACAAATTGTTGGTCATGAATTTCCAGACAAACAATCGGGTTATATGGCCCACATGCCGTTTTCATACAAACAACTGGCTAAAGACAAATGGGACGCTAGGAATGAACTTGTAAGCGGACCGCGAACACGTTAACAAATGAGGTGGGTTAAAACTCGCTCTGATACCATGATAAAATTTAGAAGATGAATTTATTTAAGTAGCACTAAAACATAATGACTTTCTCTAAATAGCACCACATGTGTTTTTCTTCTCAATGTAGCACTTTTAGTCATTATGTATTAGTCATTATTCAAGTAAATATTCGCCATCACTGGACATTATGGATATTATTAAGTGCTATTTAGGGAATAAAACAGTTTAAGTGTTATTTAGGAAAATGACTTAAGTTTTAGTGCTTTTTAGTGCAAATATTTCAATTTAGAATTGGGTACAGATCACAAGACTATGTCATAAGACAGTTGGATTGAATCACACTAAAAGATTGAATCTAATCAATTACTTAGTTCAATTTAAGAGCTTATATACTAATTATTTTTCCTTTCAATTTTTGATGTGGAACATTTTAACACGGCTTAACTTGAAAAGTCAAAGTGATCGAAGACTATGAAACAGATATAAATTTAATATTTTTAATAGTCTATCTAAAACTTCTTTATTAACATTGGTACACTCATCATTATTGTGGCCGGATTCAACTCTTAGACCATGTGGTATGGAGCACGACCGTGACCAACTATCGCACCCCGGCCTCCGTCATGCCGCACCGGGCGTGACTTTGCTAGGGTGACAACAATAGAGGATTTTGCATTTTTTTTTCTTTTTTAAATTCTGACCAATCAGAATTTGACACTTCACCACACTCATCACCCCTATTCGTTACTGCACATTATACCATTTTTATCCATTTTACTCCCATCACCCTTTCTCGTACCACATAGCCTTAGGGGAGAAAATGTAGTTGTTTTATGCTTTGCATAAAGATTCTTGCCGAGGTAGGAATATGTCACATTCTTTATTGTTCACTCGAAAAATAAAATTCTATTTATTTCCTCCCAAATAATTATCCGAACCAGAGGGGAGGTTCGTGCTCTTGTAAAATGAAGAAACGAATATAAAATAAAATTAATATACAAATAAAAATGAACCATGAAATTGATAGAACATATTCATAATAAAATACTCTGTAATAAACAAGGACGGCGGAGACCATAGAGATAAGACGGTGGACAACCAAAATGGTCGAACTTTCTAGCCGTTTTTGTGTCAATTTATGCCATAGATACTCTTTTCCCACTTCAAATTAACTTTACACAGTCTATCTAAAACTTCTTTATTAACATTGCTACACTCATCATTATATAAGCCATATTTTATAAAATCTTAAAGTATTATTATACACAAACGTACATATTAACGTATTATACACCAATCATATATTACGGAGTACTAACTAGACATATAACTGCTTATTTCAGTTTATAATGTTTAACTTAAATTATTTTCACAAAAATATATTTGAGAATTGGAGCAAAATTTAAAAAAAATAGAATTCACGTATTAAAAAACTATAGCAAAAAATTTATGAAACAATAAGTAACAAAAACATAGTGAAACGTTTGAAACGAATCTCCGTTCTCTAGCAACTCATTTGAAACAAATGAGTTGAACGTAGTTAGAAAACTCATTTCGTACCTTTCCTTTATTTAGTACGGAGTAACAAAAATAAAGATACAAAGCGAATGAAGTTTAATCTTATAAATCGTAACCATATAACTTAATTTGGAACCGGAGTAGTAGTAAAACATGGTTGGAGACATGGAGAGTAAGACTCAAACTTCGAAATAATAACAATAATAATAACAAAGTTATCACCTAAAAATAAATAACCACCCATCAAAATACAATTCACAACAGAAAATTACAAGAAATTAACACCTTGCTCTTTAAAAACCTTAGTGACTTCAAGAGCAAGACAGATTGAATGCCTCTATTCGCAGAAAGAGTTAATATCTTGACCGCCTTCGAGCCCTGCAATATTTTTTTCCCCCAATCTATCAAGCACAAGAGACTGAAAACATGGAGAACAGACTTCATGAAAACTTACCGAGGCGAGCGAGACCGGGACACCGAACGGGAAAATGAATGTGAATGCGTGGGGGACCTTGACTTTGAGTTTGACCGCGAGCGGTTTTTTCGAGAACTCCGGCCTCTGCTGCGGCTACGGCTGCGGCGGTATCTTCTGCATGAATGGAAGTGGTAAAAATGCTTAGAAAATACTCCGTTCGTCTAAAAAAGAATACAGTTTTATTGATGAAGCTATTCTTCACGTAGTTTCCGACAAATGCCGATAAAAGAGCCACAAAAGATTTTTTTACAAGTGTACCTAGATGAACTTTTAAAATACAAGATTCATAATTTATGACATTTGACAAAAATGCCGATAAAGAGGTCATATCAAACTAGGCAATAAAGAGGTCATGATTTTTAGTACCATACTACTGTGTATATTGGTCATGGTCTCTACCATGATTTTTGTTCTGTATATCAAACTCACTAATCCAGGTAAAATCATACTATAACATGGGAAAATTGTAGCATGTAAGCAAATGGTAACTGGTGCTAGATTTGGCTAGATTCTTTTTGTGTAGAACGGAAGTCAAAGAAATAGATCAAGGGCACTGAAAAATATATGCAGGATATATCCAAATTATAGATATTTAGGTTATAGCAAAAATGCCGACATTGCTGCTAAAATGTCAGAACTTATTTCCTTTAAAATTACCTTGGTGGGGAGTGACTGTAACTTCTACTACGGCTTCGATGGCGATATCGACTTATTCTGTTTGTTTCTGCAAGTTTTTCAAGCCTCAGTCTTTCTTGCTCTCGCTTCTTAGCTGTTTCAATAGCTGTATCTTTCTTGACTGCAAAAAGGCAATTATGGTTTTCATAAAATAATATACAGAACAATTTTTTAAATGACATGAATTGAGTTGAGGGTGAAGAGTGGAGATCCTTAATCTTGCAATTCTGATCACTTTCAGAAGCAAATATTAGTAGTTAATTAAATTATGTGCTTCTCCTGAAAGATGCACATCAAACTAATTATACTTTGTTTGTTCAGTTGTTTGCTCATGATTCGCTTGAGCCGCTCCTGAGGAGTTTCCTTTTTTTCTCCCTGTTGTTTAGAGAAGATTGAGCTAGTTGGTGTCTTGCTTAATTTTGCAACAGATGAAGTTGAGCTGTCAACAAAAACAATAATAAAAAGCAATCAACTGTGAGAGGAAACTGATATAGAAAACATGAACACTNATATTAGTAGTTAATTAAATTATGTGCTTCTCCTGAAAGATGCACATCAAACTAATTATACTTTGTTTGTTCAGTTGTTTGCTCATGATTCGCTTGAGCCGCTCCTGAGGAGTTTCCTTTTTTTCTCCCTGTTGTTTAGAGAAGATTGAGCTAGTTGGTGTCTTGCTTAATTTTGCAACAGATGAAGTTGAGCTGTCAACAAAAACAATAATAAAAAGCAATCAACTGTGAGAGGAAACTGATATAGAAAACATGAACACTCTCACTGGTTCACAAAAAGGGTCATTTAAGAAGAAATCAAACAGATCGAGGAGATGGAGTTTTTGAATGGAGAACAACTTTGAATGGAGAAAAACTTTGCTAAATACTCATGTCCACAAAAAAGAGACATTTTTCACCAAGGTACAACAGTAGAATTTTAGGAGGTACCATATTGGAAATCATCTATTCATCAACTATAGACATATTTTACTCTGAAAGTTCTATTAGTTTTTTTTATAATTTTTACAAATTTAACTTGTTTGAGATACTTCTTTGATAAAAACATTAGACATAATGAAAATTAGCTTTTTTTGTTCAAATAATTCTTAGGTACAAAAATAAGTCTTACAATATGATTCTTTTCTTTGGACAAAGGGAGTATACAATATTACGAGAAAGTAACATTAAGATTCATTTTGCATAGCGGTCTTGGAGGGATTCTAATGGGTTGTTGTCGTCTTGGGGGGGGGGGGAGGGGGGCATTAAGTACTACCTTGGTTTTATAAAACAACACATATTGCCACCCAAAAACAAAAATTCCTCCAAAATGATAAATCATTGTGAACTCCAGGGAGTATTAAACTATTAACCAGATGTAATTATGTAAAGATATCATAAAAATGCTTTGCGAGAAAGAGGGAAAACCATGCTGGTGTTCTCAGTAACTTGGTATTCTTTTCCTTGTCAAAAGAAACCCCTGATGCAGGATCTACATGAAGAGCTTCAAGAATGAGACCAGATGATGGCCTGCAGAACACATAAGCATTAGATGAATTGGATCTCAAGGTGGCAAATTGAGGCACTCAGAGTTAGGTTCTCTCTTATCCTTGGAAGTTATGATAATCCTAACCGTGGCATACTAAACCACATTTAAGTTTGAATCAGGTTACAAAAAGGGTGATAAGCTGCAGCAGAGTAAAGAGAGTCCAATGAAGCTTTTGCATGAAAAAAAGGTCGAGTGCTCCGACCGGTTTAGTGAATCATCAGCTTGTGATGGAGGACTACGAGGTGGAGAATATCCTTCAAACTTAGGCTCATTTTCAATATCTGAACCCCCAAACTCAGTTATGTACTCTAGCTTTGGAGCCCTTCCCTGCTCAACACCATAATGTGTTCCACGTCCATAACGCCTGGAGTTTGATGGAGACCTTGACCTAGACTTTGACCTAGATCCACCAAAAACAGAAAAGATTCAATAAAGACCCAACCAGAATCATATTCCAAGGTAGATAAAAGGTAAAACAAACTACCACCTTCTAGATCGTGAATAAGCTTCGTATGTTGGACTTCGTCTTGACTCCCTGCATAGTACACCAAAAATGGTTGCATTAGAGCGCCTAAAATTTGACTGGCGCCACCACATTTTGATGTTTATACTCTTTAGGGCCAGTTTGGTACTACTGTTATAATGGGTTAAATTGTGAATAAAAAGTATTGAGAAGTGTTGTACAAAAAATGTTTGGTACTTCAAATTTAGATGCTACAAGAATCACATAACTAATACCCCCAATCCCAAAATTATCTTCCCTTTTACTATATTTGAAAGTCCCTTCCAAACCAAAAGACACTTCCACCCTTCAATTATCCACATAAACTATACTTTATGTCTTATCAAATAGCCATTTCTCCAATAATTAACGCTTTTCAACCCACTATCCAATCTAAACTTAACACCTGTGTCATTTTCACATGGGAACATGATCTTGTAATTGTAAAAAAGCAGGTTATGTGGGTCAAAAACATTTTGCTTTTAAGTTGTTTAATAACCCCTAGTTTCGAGCTATAACACTTCTTTTATTTTACCAAACAAAAGTTTGGAGTAAAAAGAGTTTTGAGGGAATTGAGGCTTATTAGAATCTAGCAAAATTCCAAACAAGGCCATAATCTATTGAGAACCCAAAGGAGAAATCCATGAGAACAACCGATATGGGTCGTGATGGGAACGTCGAATCCCGGTAAATTGGGCAGCTTCTCTTTCCTTTTCTCTTTCCAACTGTGACGCCTTTCTTCTTTCTTTTCGACTCAATTTCCTCTGCAAAAGCACCAAGCGACTATCACTTGTCCTTCATATATACACATGTGATATCAGCCAACATTTTGAACAAACTTACAATGGCAGGATCCCCTTTTATTACTTCTTTTTGTCTCCTTTCCTCCTCTTTTGCCTTTTTATCCATGTAAACAAGCCATCCATATCTCTTTACTCCAAATTCTTTTGCAACAGACTCCATTGCTTCATCACAACTATCATCACTATTAAAATCATCCTCTTCATCCTCTTCACCCTCACCATCTTCATCTGCATCTGAATAATGAGCCTCATCTTTTACTTCTCCATCATAAGAGAACCCCACTTGAGAATAAGACCCCTTGCTTGTTGAAGTCTGTGTTATTTGAGGTCTGCCATATTTGTAACAAAAATGAAGGAAAAAAAGTATATTACATGTAAATTTTCATGCACTAAGAAAAATAAATAGCAAGGTTGTCAATAAAGCACCTGTCTGCGTCAAATTGAGCAACAACCTTAGCCTCCATCTCTTGGCTAACATATTGTAAACCGTCTGCATCATTAACTGCACAAGATATTTTTTCAGCTTTTGTGCTGACTCACAGAGAGATATGTCCAAAGAAAGATGCATGATTTTAGGTCTCTCTAAGCCATTTTATGTTTGAGGCAACGTCGTGACTGTTGTCAAATGGCAGACAGCAGTGGCAGTGTGACGATATTTGTGAAGAAAAGGGGGTTATGGCAGCTTATGGAAGAATTTTGGCCATAATTCACCATCAGCCATTAATAACCATGGTTGGAGAAATTTGGATGGACAAGGAAGAGAGTGGAGTCGAGTGTCTAGTTGAGGGAGTTGGGGGTGGGTGGGAGAGGTGCAAAATTATAAATTCCTCCAAACTCCTTGCATTAAAAAAACCAATTTGGGGTATTTATTTGAGTATTTTTTTTTCTTAATTTCTTTCACAGTTGTTATCAAAATTATTCAACCTTAGATTGAGTTTGCATGGAGTTTAAGAAAAGTGAAATTGAGTGGTTGAAAGTGATGCAAAGAGAAAAAGAATGTGAGCCTCTTTCTATAAATGGAAAGAGGACTCTTTTTTTGGGATGTCCCACAAAGTAAATGAGGACTATGATTTCGGGACAGATGGCGTATTATTTTTTCTAAAATAATACTTCCCCCACACTTTGCCACTGAACCAAACATAATATCTGTATCTTGGTAAGCTTTTCCATCCACCCACCCCCCACCCCTCTTTTGAACCAAACAAGAGCTAAAGAAATGCATGGTGCTGTTTTATTGCATTCCGTGGCAACAGTAAGACTAGAAGAGCAGAACAGATGCAAGGATTCTATGTTTTAAGAACAATACAGATGTAAGTCAGAAAACCAAAAAAGTACCGACATCCTCTACGCCGATGCTTAATTAAGTCCCGGTAACGCTCAAAATTAACAAACTCTTCCAATTCTTCTTCCTCTTCAGTTCTCTGTGGAGCACGAAAACTCCGGGAACTGGTATCCCGTATAAAATCAAGAAGAGCACGACCATCAAATCTGCCAAGAGAATAATCCATGAGAAGAATAAATCAATGAATCCCCTTCTAAAAGATTAGAAATTATGACTTAGGTAATTACCTGTCAATCAGAGTGTCTTGCTTGCCATTCCAAGGTATCCTGGTATAAATCATTGAGAATATCAAAGTAAGCAGTGCTTCGGGAAGGAAAACCTTAGTTCTGGTAAAATGGTTGCTACAAAATCTATGGTGCAGTATCAGCCTATCAGGTTTTATTAGGTCCGATTCATCATTTTCATTGCAAATTTATAATGGGAGATGACTATATCACATACTACAGTATGATATATTTTATGGCTCCATCCAAGTGATTTAATTATTACAAAATCAGAATTGCTTCGCAAGAAGTTTTAGACTCCTGACTGGGAAGGCATCTGGCTCAAATTCTTCAAAACACTGCAATTGTGTTTTTAGTCAAGACCATGGTAAGAAACCAGGGTTGACTGTCTATAACCAGGGTAAGAACTTTGAGGCACATGATGAGGTGGATTTTGGATGCTTTAGTGAGGTCTAGAGGTATGGAATTTGAGGAGGATTAGAGGCAGACCCATTACGAGTTGGAGCAATGTGATTAGTCAAGACCATTACTTGGTGAAATTTTAATTTCTACTAGTTTCTTTTGTGCTTGAGCAGGGGTGTTTGGGACACAACCTCTCTACATGTTAAGGTTGTACTATGTAGTGGTAAGGTCTGCATACACCTGCCCATCTGCAAACACCTATGCTCCCCAGACCCATTTATGGGATCCTATTGCATTATAGTTGTACTTTTTTTAAATACTTAATCTGCAGTATAAGTAGAAACCTGTCACCGACCCCCACTGGTTGGGATTAAGTGCTAGCAAGATTAAAGGGGTTCTACATGGTGAGTAAAACAGTTTAACCTGAATGAATGCAGTACTAATTCTATCCTAACATAAACACATCCTCTTGAAATCGTGGCACAACATTCCAAAAATCGGAAGCATGTCATCACAAGTCCATGAATTTATCATTCTTTGACAATTAGAGCGATCTAGGTTACCACTAAATTGGGGCAATATTCAACACTCAATTCCAATATGATACAATTACATGAACAATCATTACAATATTAAATTCATTACTAATGCATGCCAAAAGTCCATGAAAATTGCTACAGCTTGGAAAAGTCCGTGATTATTGCAAAACTTTGTGGGGGTTAGAGCGCACAAACTTGCAAGGAAACAAAAAAATGCGCTATCAGACGCTATATGTAAGAAATGAGTGAAAATTCATACATTCCCTGCTCATCCTCCGTCGCTTGATAGAGGGCATCATCGCGGTAGATGCGGCAGCGGGTTCCGACGGCTTGGATATATTGCCGGGGGTCGCCCCGCCGCTTAGCCAAATAGATTGCTCGGCGCTGAGCTCTCTTCCGAGCGGCGTCCATCATGTCGTGGACTTTCTTCTCCGACTTCCTTGCTTCATGCCACATCTTTCCTTTTTAGAAATCGTGAGATTTCAGGTTTCGATTCCAGAAACGAACACGCTGCTGGCCTTATGGAAGGAGCCCTAATAATTACAGAAACCCGATCCACTCTGTGTAGAGATCTGCCATGTGATTCTGCTAAGGGCCTGTTTGGTTTTACTTTTGATTTTTTATTTTTTGGTTTTAATTATTTACTCCCTCCGTCCCTAAATAAACTTCTTTCGTTTTTTCTATATCCCCAAATAAACTTTGCTTTTCCCGTAAAAACTCTTTTTACCCCTTACTTTTTCATACACTACCTATCACATCATACCTTTTTACTAATAATCTACATATCATATCTTACTTCTACACATCACATCAAGGGTATTTTTGAAAAGTCAACACAAAAATATCTCACCCTTAAATCCTCAAAAAGTCAAAAAAGGAAGTTTATTTAGGGACAGAGGGAGTATTATTTATTTATTTATTGCTTATTTATTACCAGTATTTTAATATTTATTTTAAAATTTTATTTTTCTATTTTTTATTTTTCTATTTTTATCAGTATTATGTTATTATGCAAATTATTACATACATCTAGCTGTACGTAGAGATAGGTTCAGTCGGCGTTTAATAGGGGCAAAAGGAATAAATCGACAATGAAGGAGGCTGGCCGATCGGAAGTTTGCTAGAAGCCGTGCATATCTGTGATGATGTGCGGATTGATGATGATGATTGATGATCTGCATATCTGTTCTTTGCGTTTGTATCAATTCTTGGGGGTTTGCCTATTGATGATGCGGTGATGATGATGAATAAGGAAGACGTGGCAAGTTTTGCAGAATTGATCTGCGGCTATGAAGAAGCTTTTGGGATCCGCGATTAGGACGAGCTATGAATGGTGGTATGTAGTTGAAAAATGAGTACTAGACTATGTAGGGATGAGTACTACTGGGTTTTAGATAGTGTATTACGTTATTCGTAAATTAATACTGTACATGTAGAATTTAATAAAAGATAAAATATTCTGTATATTGAATTGTTCTGAGTAATTACAAAGGGGTCTCCTTTATTTATAGGAGAAGATAATTTCAAAATAGAATAGGAATACAAATCATACAAGAAACAAAACAATAATCTCAAACTAGGAAACAAATCAATATCAATCCCAATTAGAATGGGATTTGATCCCTTCTCTCTTATTGTGGAGCCCAAGGAATACACGGCCAACACCCCCCCTCCTCAAGCTGGAGCATGCAGATTCTGCGTGCCTAGCTAGGACAGCAAATGTGAAAATGGAGCAGAAGCCAAGGCCTTTGTAAACTGATCCGCCGGATGATCAGTGGTAGAAACATGTCGGGTACACAAAACACCTTTTCTGAGTTTCATCACGCACAAAGTGGCAGTCAATCTCAATATGTTTTGTACGTTCATAAAAAACGGGGTTAGCTGCGATATGGAGAGCAGCCTGATTATCACAGAACAACCACATGGGCTGTTTAATTTGTGAGACACGCCTAAGGACAATAGAAGGGATTTCAGGCATTTCAGTTCACAAAAAGTGGTTGCCATGGCCTGGTATTCGGCCTCAGCCGAGGAGCGGGAGACCACATTTTGTTTCTTCGTACACCGGGACACCGGGGAATGGCCAAGACTAATAAAATAACCGGTAACTAAACGACGAGTCAAAAGACAGCCAGCCCAATCAGAGTCACAGAAAGCCTTAAGAGTGAGATCACTTTGTGCTCGAAGGATTAAGCCTTGCCCGGGACTAGCCTTGATATAGCGGAGGACATGTGTCACCCCATCCCAATGTTCCTGTCGCGGGTTCCCCATGAATTGAGATAACACATGAACATCATATGCTAAATTAGGACGACTAATCGTGAGATAAATGAGGCGCCCTATAAGCCGGCGATAACGCTCCGGATTGGTGAAAAGCGGGCCACTCGCCAGAGCCAGACGATGATTCCGAGGAAGAAGAGTGGAAGCCGTATGAGCACCTAGAAATCCAGTCTCACAAAGAATATCAAGAGCATATTTGCGCTGGCATATGAAGATTCCTTTCGAATTTCGGGCAACCTCAACGCCCAAAAAATATTTTAAAAGGCCGAAATCTCTCATATGGAAGCAATCAGAGAGATACCGTTTAAACTTTTCAATGAAATCTTCATCATTTCCTGCAATAACGAGATCATCCACATATACCAGCACACGAAGCTCAATGGAGCCACACAGAAGAGTAAATAGTGAATAATCAACCTTAGATTGGTGAAACCCAAAATGTTTCAAAGCAGAGGTGAGTTTAACAAACCAACAACGTGGAGCCTGACGAAGACCATAGAGGGATTTATAAAGACGGCAAACCAATCCTTTACCGCGAGAGGCAAACCCTGGAGGAAGAGTCATGTATATTTCATCGCAGAGGTCTGCATGCAAAAATGCATTGTGAACGTTCATCTGATGTACGAACCAGTTCCCAGGATCGGAGTGGTGTAGCGGAACCAGTTCTCCATGCAAAAGATAGAAGAATGAATGCGAAATGGGAAAATGGGCTTTGGTGGCCCTGCGATTTGAAAATGGTCACCAATCCACTATCAAACTCCAACCGCATTCTCGATGAGTAAAATGCAAACACCAAAAATTTACTATTGGAGGGACATATATACTTCAATATATACTGCACAACCGGTGGTACGGTGTTGCATGTACATCCATAGTGACTACTCATTTACGAGTAATTAAATACTCGTTTTTGAGTAGCTGAACAATCGTTTTTGAGCAATAGAATGCTCTTTTTTCTAAAATTAAGTCATGCTCTAAAATGAGTACTTAGTTAGTCGAAAATGAGTATTCATGCGGATGTATGAGAAGTCGAGGAATAGGCAGCGTTGGTATTGTAATTTCGGCCTTCATTATATAGTGACACTTTAGCGAGGAATAGGCAGCGTTTATTATAAAAAGGATCAACACGATTTTTAAAAAGTCCTATTTTAGAATAAAAACATGGAGTACTTTTTTGGTTTTTTTATATTTTTCTCTTACTTTAGTCTTGCTCTCATTCAATAAAGACTTTTAAAACCTCTTCTTTTATATTGGAAAAAAAAGAGTTGAATGTTGTAAAAAAAACTTAATAAGAGCTCAATAAGAACTTGGAAAAAAGAGTTAGAATCAGCTAAAAGGACGTTGAAAATCTGAAAGAAGTTTTAAAAAAACTAAAAATTTAAAATACTTCAATGAATTGGAACAAATGAAAAGTCTTGAAATAAATATTACATAGATTTTTTAAATTTCAATTTTGTCTATTCTTATTTTAGTTTTTGTTCATTTTTATTTTTTCCCATGTCAAACAATTTTATTTCAAATTATATGTATAGTAAGTTTTTTGTGACACACACTCATCAATTTTTCTTACACTTGTTAACATTAAAACCAGTATTTCATTTTTTTATTTCTTAGTTTGCACGAAACTAACCCATGTTCAAAACATAGTGGATAAAGAAAGCAACATTTTTTATTTATTTTAAAAAAAATAAAAATTGACAAAAATAATTGATGTTATGATGGTCAACAAAAAAATTTAAAAATTATTAGAATTCGTGTCCTTTACTAGGGGGTGAATAGTGAGGCACAAGAGTGTTGATAAATTTTTGCGCAATAAAAATCATAGGGATAAAGTAAAGAGCGGAATTAAAAAGCTTAAGGAAAGAACACATCGATGTACACCGGTTCACTACAACTTGTGGCTACATCGAGTCTCCCAAGAGATTCTCTTGAGCTACACTTTTTCCGTTAAACTTACGAGTGCTTAACAAACTGTTACAATTTGAGAACTCGAGTTCCACAAAGCTCAACACACTTGCTCAGAGATACCGCATTCCAAAGCTTAAACTCAAAGGAATGTACTCTTCCCTCGTACAACCAAGGGAACAAACCTCCCTTCAAGTGTTTACAACATTTGATCACTCAAGAATAAAAATCTCTTTTAAAGAGTAGAATATGAGTAAACTTAAATAGTGAACATCGCTATTTTGGCTTTGACTTTCTTTTGAAATTAATAATGGTCATGTGAACATCGATTTTTTGAAGGCTACATCGATGTTTGGATTGTTGACTTTCAAAAATAGAAAGATTTTATCTTAAATAACCCAACGGTCAACTCTAAACATCAATATTCATGTATGAACATCGTTGTTTTAAAACTGCCTCCCAAAAACTGATGTGAGCTAACCTGGGCAAAACATGGATGTCCAAAATCTAACATCACTGTTTTGAAACTTACTGACATGGCTAAAACCGATGTCAAAAATGAAAATTTCCCAAATAAAAAACTAAGTATTGGAAACACTCTTTTGATGTAGAAACCAAGTGTAAAAACTTAAAAAGTATAAAAACCACATCGTTAAAGTGAAAACCAAGTGTTGTAAACACTTTTTTAGGTAGGTCTTGGCTAATATATTCATTGAATTGATCCACACAGTTACCCCACAACGCGCAATTTAAACGCCTTCCACTGTGCAAATCATTGGAAAAGAAACATTAGTAAACACACACGCACAGATATATATATATATGTGCACATCTAGTTTAATGTACTCATGATTCCCTATAGTTATGCATGTCCATGAGCTTGTTCTCCCGCTGTAGTATCGTGTGTGTTCGCACCCTCGAATGACCAATGATCTTTTGAATCACATCTAGTGAATCAAAAGAAACATGAGTTTTACATAGATTATAGTTTGGTCGATTTTTTAAAAGTAGATTAATACCTAGCTAGTAGGGGTCTTCACTCAATGGTAGATCCCAAACACTCTTAAAGGATGCAAGTCGTATATCACTTTAGGAAACTCTTGATGAGTCAATGTCTTGATGCCTGTTTGGCCGTAGAAAGCCAACAAAAAGTGATGCGTTTTTGTTTTGAACGGTAAATAGTTGTCATAGACCAAAAGGTTTTTTATGCTAAAAATACCGCCATCAGCAATTTAACAAGCATTGTACGACTTCTTGATTTGGCAATGAATCCTAGTACCATGTTACACACCTGGAAAGATTGTCAGCATCGTTAAGGCATGTACGCTAGTTTTTTGTTTCATTACA